GTGGTGAGGGAAAGAAAGAGTGGTGAGGGAAGAGAGTGGTGAGGGAAAGAAAGAGTGGTGAGGGAAAGAAAGAGTGGTGAGGGAAAGAAAGAGTGGTGAGGGAAAGAAAGAGTGGTGAGGGAAAGAAAGAGTGGTGAGGGAAAGAAAGAGTGGTGAGGGAAAGAAAGAGTGGTGAGGGAAAGAAAGAGTGGTGAGGGAAAGAAAGAGTGGTGAGGGAAAGAAAGAGTGGTGAGGGAAAGAAGAGTGGTGAGGGAAAGAAAGAGTGGTGAGGGAAAGAAAGAGTGGTGAGGGAAAGAAAGGTGGTGGGAAAGAAAGAGTGTGAGGGAAGAAAGAGTGGTGAGGAGAAAGAAAGAGTGGTTTGAGGGAAGAAAGAGTGGTGAGGGAAAGAAAGAGTGGTGAGGGAAAGAAGAGTGGTGAGGGAAGAAAGAGTGGTGAGGGAAAGAAAGAGTGGTGAGGGAAAGAAAGAGTGGTGAGGGAAAGGAAAGAGTGGTGAGGGAAAGAAAGAGTGGTGAGGGAAAGAAAGAGTGGTGAGGGAAAGAAAGAGTGGTGAGGGAAAGAAAGAGTGGTGAGGGAAAGAAAGAGTGGTGAGGGAAAGAAAGAGTGGTGAGGGAAAGAAAGAGTGGTGAGGGAAAGAAAGAGTGGTGAGGGAAAGAAAGAGTGGTGGGGAAAGAAAGAGTGTGTGAGGGAAAGAAAGAGTGGTGAGGGAAAGAACAGAGTGGTGAGGGAAAAGAAAGAGTGGTGAGGAAAGAAAGAGTGGTGAGGGAAAGAAAGAGTGGTGAGGGAAAGAAAGAGTGTTTGTGTCGTGAGGGAAAGAAAGAGTGGTGAGGGAAAGAAAGAGTGGTGAGGGAAAGAAAGAGTGGTGAGGGGAAAGCAAGAGTGGTGAGGGAAGAAAGAGTGGGTGAGGGAAAGAAAGAGTGGTGAGGGAAAAGAAAGAGTGGTGAGGGAAAGACAGAGTGGGTGAGGGAAAGAAAGAGTGGTGAGGAAGAAAGAGTAGTGGTGAGGGAAAGAAGAAGTGGTGAGGAAAGAAAGAGTGGTGAGGGAAAGAAAGAGTGGTGAGGAAGAAAGAAGATGGTGAGGGAAAGAAAAGGTGGTGAGGGAAAGAAAGAGTGGTGAGGGAAAGAAAGAGTGGTGAGGGAAAGAAAGAGTGGTGAGGGAAAGAAAGAGTGGTGAGGGAAGACGAGTGGTGAGGGAAAGAACGAGTGGTTGAGGGAAAGAAAGAGTGGTGAGGGAAAGAAAGAGTGGTGAGGGGAAAGAAAGAGTGGTGAGGGAAAGAAAGAGTGGTGAGGGAAAGAAAGAGTGGTGAGGGAAAGAAAGAGTGGTGAGGGAAAGAAAGAGTGGTGAGGGAAAGAAAGAGTGGTGAGGGAAAGAAAGAGTGGTGAGGGAAAGAAAGAGTGGTGAGGGAAAGAAAGAGTGGTGAGGGAAAGAAAGAGTGGTGAGGGAAAGAAAGAGTGGTGAGGGAAAGAAAGAGTGGTGAGGGAAAGAAAGAGTGGTGAGGGAAAGAAAGAGTGGTGGGGGAAAGAAAGAGTGGTGAGGGAAAGAAAGAGTGGTGAGGGAAAGAAAGAGTGGTGAGGGAAAGAAAGAGTGGTGAGGGAAAGAAAGAGTGGTTGAGGGAAAGAAAGAGTGGTGAGGGAAAGAAAGAGTGGTGAGGGAAAGAAAGAGTGGTGAGGGGAAAGAAAGAGTGGTGAGGGAAAGAAAGAGTGGTGAGGGAAAGAAAGAGTGGTGAGGGAAAGAAAGAGTGGTGAGGGAAAGAAAGAGTGGTGAGGGAAAGAAAGAGTGGTGAGGGAAAGAAAGAGTGGTGAGGGAAAGAAAGAGTGGTGAGGGAAAGAAAGAGTGGTGAGGGAAAGAAAGAGTGGTGAGGGAAAGAAGAGTGGTGAGGGAAAGAAGAGTGGTGAGGGAAAAGATTTGTGAGGAAGAAAGAGTGGTGAGGGAACAGAAAGATGGTGAGGGAAAGGAAAGAGTGGTGAGGGAAAGAAAGAGTGGTGAGGGAAAAGAGAAAGATTGGGTGAGGGAAGAAAGAGTGGTGAGGGAAGAAGAGTGGTGAGGGAAAGAAAGAGTGGTGAGGGAAAGAAAGAGTGGTGAGGGAAAGAAAGAGTGGTGAGGGAAAGAAAGAGTGGTGAGGGAAAGAAAGAGTGGTGAGGGAAAGAAAGAGTGGTGAGGGAAAGAAAGAGTGGTGAGGGAAAGAAAGAGTGGTGAGGGAAAGAAAGAGTGGTGAGGGAAAGAAAAGTGGTGAGGGAAAGAAAGAGTGGTGAGGGAAAGAAAGAGTGGTGAGGGAAAGAAAGAGTGGTGAGGGAAAGAAGAGTGGTGAGGGAAAGAAAGAGTGGTGAGGGAAAGAAAGAGTGGTGAGGGAAGAAAGAGTGGTGAGGGAAAGAAAGAGTGGTTGAGGGAAAGAAAGAGTGGTGAGGGAAAGAAAGAGTGGTGAGGGAAAGAAGAGTGGTGAGGGAAAGAAAGAGTGGTGAGGGAAAGAGTGGTGAGGGAAAGAAAGAGTGGTGAGGGAAAGAAAGAGTGGTGAGGGAAAGAAAGAGTGGTGAGGGAAAGAAAGAGTGGTGAGGGAAAGAAAGAGTGGTGAGGGAAAAAGAGTGGTGAGGGAAAGAAAGAGTGGTGAGGGAAAGAAAGAGTGGTGAGGGAAAGAAAGAGTGGTGAGGGAAAGAAAGAGTGGTGAGGGAAAGAAGAGTGGTGAGGGAAAGAAAGAGTGGTGAGGGAAAGAAAGAGTGTGAGGGAAAGAAAGAGTGGTGAGGGGAAAGAAAGTGGTGAGGGAAAGAAAGAGTGGTGAGGGAAAGAAAGAGTGGTGAGGGAAAGAAAGAGGGTGAGGGAAAGAAAAAGAGTGGTGAGGGAAAGAAGAGTGGTGAGGGAAAGAAGAGTGGTGAGGAAAGAGTGGTGAGGGAAAGAAAGAGTGGTGAGGGAAAGAAAGAGTGGTGAGGGAAAGAAAGAGTGGTGAGGGAAAGAAAGAGTGGTGAGGGAAAGAAAGAGTGGTGAGGGAAAGAAAGAGTGGTGAGGGAAGAAAGAGTGGTGAGGGAAAGAAAGAGTGGTGAGGGAAGAAGAAGTGGTGAGGGAAAGAAGAGTGGTGAGGGAAAGAAAGATGGTGAGGGAAAGAAAGAGTGGTGAGGGAAAGAAAGAGTGGTGAGGGAAAGAAAGAGTGGTGAGGGAAAGAAGCGTGGTGAGGGAAAGAAGAGTGGTGAGGGAAAGAAGAGGGGTGAGGGAAAGAAGAGTGGTGAGGGAAAGAAAGAGTGGTGAGGGAAAGAAAGAGTGGTGAGGGAAAGAAAGAGTGGTGAGGGAAAGAAAGAGTGGTGAGGGAAAAGAGTGGTGAGGGAAAAGAAAGAGTGGTGAGGGAAAGAAAGAGTGGTGAGGGAAAGAAAGAGTGTGAGGGAAAGAAGAGTGGTGAGGGAAAGAAAGAGTGGTGAGGGAAAGAAAGAGTGGTGAGGGAAGAAAGAGTGGTGAGGGAAAGAAAGAGTGGTGAGGGAAAGAAAGAGTGGTGAGGGAAAGAAAGAGTGTGAGGGAAGAAGAGTGGTGAGGGAAAGAAAGAGTGGTGAGGGAAGAAGAGTGGTGAGGAAAGAAGAGTGGTGAGGGAAAGAAGAGTGGTGAGGGAAAGAAAGAGTGGTGAGGGAAAGAAAGTGGTGAGGGAAGAAAGAGTGGTGAGGGAAAGAAAGAGTGGTGAGGGAAAGAAGAGTGGTGAGGGAAAGAAAGAGTGGTGAGGGAAAGAAAGAGTGGTAGGGAAAGAAGAGTGGTGAGGGAAAGAAAGAGTGGTGAGGGAAAGAAAGAGTGGTAGGGAAAGAAAGAGTGGTGAGGGAAAGAAAGAGTGGTGAGGGAAAGAAAGAGTGGTGAGGGAAGAAAGAGTGGTGAGGGAAAGAAAAAGAAAGAGTGGTGGGGAAAAAAGCGTGGTGAGGGAAAGAGAGTGGTGAGGAAGAAGAGTGGTGAGGGAAAGAAAGAGTGGTGAGGGAAAGAAAGAGTGGTGAGGAAAGAAAGAAAGTGGTGAGGGAAAGAAAGAGTGGTGAGGGAAAGAAAGAGTGGTGAGGAAAGAAAGAGTGGTGAGGGAAAGAAGAGTGGTGAGGGAAAAAGAGTGGTGAGGGAAAGAAAGAGTGGTGAGGGAAAGAAAAGAGTGGTGAGGGAAAAAGAGTGGTGAGGGAAAGAAAGAGTGGTGAGGGAAAGAAAGAGTGGAGGGAAAGAAAGAGTGGTGAGGGAAAGAAAGAGTGGTGAGGGAAAGAAAGAGTGGTGAGGGAAAGAAAGAGTGGTGAGGGAAAGAAAGAGTGGTGAGGGAAA